TTTGTTTGTAAAGCCTTGGCAATCGATTCTTTTACATGCTCAGGACCAGAATCGACCAGATCTTTAATCAAAGCTTGGATAGAGCCATTGAGATCAGTATCATCCACAATCGCCTGCTGTGCCGGTGGATTTGTCGTATTCCGGTTGGGTAATGTAGTTTGTGATGTGTGGGGCGCTACCGAAGTAGGTTTGAACAAAGGGGCATCACGCGTCGATGATATTGAGGGGTGTAGTGAAGTGGATGGGGCTGGTCTGGTCGAATGTTCACGGCCGATCGCACTAACATCCTTTGAGGGTCCATTGTTTACATGATGAGGAAAGGAATGGGTATGCTCCTTGGTTTGAACCGTAGTGGGGATAGGAAGATGACCTGAAATAGTGAATGATCAAACTCCAATTTGCAATCTCACCGGTTATTTTTCCTTCAGCTGCTAATTTTTGAGCTCTTTCTTGTTCCTGACGAAGCATGCGCCGTCGCTTTTTGCTCCACATTTCATGACAATCTTGATCTATAGGTAACCTGAATGGTACAACGAAGAGTAGATATTGTATACCTATGATAAAAACACCTCACCTAGGGGGGACTATTTTAGCTGGGTCAACTCCCTTTAACCAAGGTGATTCAAGAGCCTGTCGAGCACTACAGCGCCGACGTGGATCCAACTGAAGCATACAATCCAGCAAATTCAGAGCATCTCCTGGAATGCTATGGAAAGCAACTGATCGAAAGCACAATAACTTACATTGCATAATCCTCACGTAGACGACGACGATATAACTTTTTTGGCTTAAATGTAGCATAGAAAGGAAGCTTTTCAACGTTGGGCCAGACAGCCGGATCAGGATAACCACAGACACGAGAAATCACTTCTAACTGTTCGATTTCTTCGTTGCCTTGAAACATTGGACGTCGGGTAAACATCTCACCAAGAATACACCTATTTATTGATGGCAAAACAACGTAGTACACTTACCCACAGGACCAAATATCGACAGCTGGACCGTACCTCTCTTCACCTAATAATAGTTCCGGTGGTCGGTACCACAAAGTGATCACCTTGTTAGTATAGGGACGTTCGTTGTCTCCGGCCACATAGAGACGAGCAAGACCGAAGTCGGCCAATTTCAGTTGACCTCTATAAGTGGGAGAAAGATGACATAACGAGGCCACCTACTGATTGTTGATTAAAATATTCGAACACTTGATATCACGATGAAGAAAATGCTTTTCGTGGCAGTAGTTTAACCCATCTAATAACTGCTTCATTAACGACGCAATGTGTTGTTCTGAAAAAGTGACCATTCCAGATTCCAAAATTCCGTACAGATCATGGTCCATGTAATCAAACACAAGGAAGAATGCCCCTGTAAATAGAACCAAAGAAAGCAGATTTTCTTACCTCGATCTTCTTTGAAATCTAATGGATCATCTTTGTCCGTGACAATCTCGCATAAATTTACAATGTTCGGATGCCGCAGCTGGCGCAAAATCTTGATTTCTCGGACAGCAGTGATTGGAAATCCTTCTCTTTCATTTTCCAGACGAACTTTTTTCAGTGCTTTATACTCTCCTAAACAATGGATTGAGTACGAGCTGGTCCTCTGAGAATTAAATACCAACCTGTAAGTTTATCTCGAGCTTTATATACATGGCCGTAAGTGCCCTCACCGACTTGAACGAGGCCTTCAAACGCGGTAACAGAACGCTCACCCCACGTTTTGTTGTTGCGTGTTTTCGATCGGCGTTCACATATCCTGCATTATATAGAGAATAATAAACAGAAAGTCAGGAATCGAAACGGGTCATCATCAAAGCTAGGGTGTTGTATACAGCAGACATTATTTGTAACATTAGGCGCAACCAAACAACTCAGGGGAAAAAACTGGAAGATTCGCCAGAAATTCCTCAAAATTTGATTATAATTGCAAGATAGAGGATTATCCCACTAAAAAAATACTTTCTAGGATCTCATTTTGAAGGATTAACAATTAGGTAGAGGACGACTGAAAATGCTACCTTTAAACACCCTCAACAGTATGTAAACATTCCCAGTGATCCGTTACAATTAGCTTAAAAGCCTAATAGATCCACTTTATACGCAGTCTCCACCCTTATTCATGTCATCAGTCTAAACACCTCTGCCAAGTTTGTTCTGTATATTCTCCTGACTAGTCTTCAGCATCTGATTCCAGAATGGTCGGGGGTGAGGTTGGTCACCCTGCCCTTGCACCTCACGAAATGCTCCCATACAACCAAGCGTCTCAAATAACCTCTGCTGAGGAAGCCCTATTCACTGCCTTCTCGTGGCAGAGATGTTTTCCCACCAGAGTGAGAGGACGAACAGCCGACATCCAGGGCTATAACCGGGTTGGTGGACCACTGGTAGTTCACC